ATGTAATTTAAGATGTCCAACTCTACCATCAATAACATTTATTTTTCAAAAAGTTGAAAGTAGAAATCAACCTTTTTTAATATAGAAAGAAATATTTTTATAGGGCAAAAAATGAACTCTTAAAAACTTTTTATTTGAGTGGCCTTGAACAATTATGTTTAAAAAGCTCATAAACACAACTTTGAAAAATTGAGGGACACACATAATCAATCATAAAATGAATGCATTGGTATTTTAATTTTATTTCCTTACTATCAAGAGATCGTTGTGTGGAATTCACATGACTGGAGACAAAGAAGACATTTAATTTTAATTGCTAGCCATATTGAAGGATGCATACTGGAATGGAGCATGTGGGTAGATTTAGGAGCTCTTTGGAGCATATCGATTAGTTGAATGTAAAAGCCTGGGTAAAGGAGGGTTTGAACGCTGGTCCAAAGTTGTCCTCCTTTGGTCCCTGTTGGATGATTCTGCTATTCACTGAGACAAAGGACAATGAAAGTCATATAATTTGAGGAAAGATGACGACTTTGGTGTTGAACACATTGACTGGGGGAATTAGGTTGAGCCATTCAAGGGGCAAGACACTGTTGTGCCTACAGGTGTGATGTTTAAGAGCGAAGTCTACACTGTAGATAGGTATGAAAAATCATTTGTATAGAATCTTATTGACATCATGGAGGTTAATGGGAAGACTGAGAGAGACTCTGGCCTGAGAAGTGCATAGGATTTGTGGCATAGTCTGAAAAATACAAACCCTTAAGAGACAAGAAGCAAATACCTCACAAAAGAGAACAAGAATGAATAGGAAAGATGGGAAGAAAATCAAGAATATATAAGGCTAAAAGGAGAGAACATTTTCAGAAAAGTGGAGTGATCATCACATAAATGTCATAGTGAAGTCAAATAATTAGACCAAAAGTTGTAGGGGAGGTTTAGCAGCAAAGGGGTATTTTTTGGTGGTCTTGGCCATGAAAACAAACAAACAAAAAAACTGCAATGATGATAGACTCCAGTTGACTAGGTAGAGAAATGAGAAAAAAGAAAGCAGACATGGTGATATCATGCAACATTTCATAACATTTGCCAAAGAAATGTGGGAAACAAGAAGAGTGACCTGATGTCGATGGAGGGGATTTTTAAATATTGAAGAGAACTAAGCATTATCGAATGCCAGTAAGGCATTAATAGGCAGAAAGTTAACAATTTTAGAAAGATAAAAACGTAAGAGCAAATATCTGTAAGCAGGTAGGAGGGGTAGATACCCATGTGCCCAGTGGGTTACCTGCTTCCATCTGGTTGAAAATCAACTTTTTATTGTAACAGGATGGAATGAGAAAATGAGGAATGTGCATATTGGCAGGTAGATGGGCTTTCCAGGGAATGAGAAGGTAAGGCAATCTGATGAGAACGAGAGGTGGGAGGAGTAAACCAAGAGCAGATAGCTCTGTGGACAATGACAGAAAAGGCTGGTGAGGAAACACAGTGCTTTCATACAGCACCGAGCCACTAGTCAAGACTGGGGATGGTCAGTGTACAGCAGCATCCTTCATAGATTTGAGGATTCTACCCAGCTGTTCTTAGTAAGCCCAAAATAGCATGCAGAAGATTATCATTTATATTACTCCCAAATCAGATTTTGACGTGTGGGATGGAAGAAGGAAGGGGTAAATAGGAAGATAAGCAGGGGAAGAACGTGGAATATATTAGCCAGACATTGTAGGAAATCATAAACCATGGACCCTAAAAGAGAATTAATTATAAAAGGAAGGAGAAGAACACAGATCAATGGGCTTCTACACAGAGAAAACAGGGAGATCAAAGGATTGGAGCTCTCAAAAGGGTCACTGAACAAGCATAGTTATAGAGTCGGACGGATAGAAGATGAATAGTTAGAGACTGGGTGGCTTGATATTACAAGTTCAAAAATGTGATCTCCCAAACCCTAAGTCTGGGACCTGCCTTCCTCTAATGGGACTGGAGGTGAACAGAGATATCAGAATTCTGACTGGATTGCACTTGTGAGTGCTGAACTAGATCAGGGCGATGGTTGGCCTAGAGAGGAAGCAGAAATCTGACAACCAGCTGCCTGCTCTTCAGAAAATGAGCAAGACTGAGAAGTTGGTAGGTGACAACAGGACTGAGATGACTGTCCACTAACGTAAACATGCATTTAGTCAGCGCAAATGCTGCATGGAATTGATGTAGCCTAACACAGGATAATCTGTGGTCTCGTGGATTCCTACTTGTTTTCCAGTGTCTGATTTGTCTACTTTGAAGTCACTTTAAAATATCATCAGATTAATTTCTTATCTGATGGGTACTAGTAAATAGGTCACCACAAGACAAAAAAATTAAACGTTGATCTCATCTTTGCTGTGTTAGGCATTATGAATTTTTAAAAATTAAGGTATGACCCAGTCCCTGGAAGATTTACTTCGTAGTAGGAATGATTATTTGATGAAAACAATGGTGTAATGTTATCATATGGGTGTTGTACAACAATGACTAGCAGCACTTTAGGCAGTATGAAATAAATGAATAATTTAAGAAACTATGCACCACCTGTGGAAAGAACAAATAGTTCAATAAAGTAGAAGACTATATTTTATCTTCAGTTGGGAGTGATGGTACACACATGTAATTCCAGTACTCTGGGAGGCTAAGGCAGGAAGGATCATAAGTTCGAGCCCCACCCTGGGAAACAGAGTGATTTAGTGAGATTATTTCAAAATAAACACGTACCAACTCCCTACAATGGGTGTAATCAAAATGCACTGCAAACATGCACTATTAAAAATTAAAAATTTTAACATAAGAGTAACAATAATAATAAAAGCCAATTATGAAGATTGGGGCAAAGGCCCATCAATCAATCCCCACTATGCAAAACAAACACTAAACAAAATACAAAAAAAACAGGTGTGATGGAACAAGCCTGTAATCTCAGCTGATCTCAGGGAGGCTGAGGTAGGAGGATCACTGGGATTTTGCGGCCAGCCTGGGCTACCTAGTGAACTCAAGGCCAGCTTGAATTACATAGTGAGACCCTGCTTCAAAACAAACTAAAAAAAAAACATGCAAAAAATTTATCTGTACCTCTTCCTGAGACATGTCTCCCTTACCACTTCTCTGAGCTACATAATACAGTACTTTAAGGGAAGCAATGAGTGCTTCAGAAAACATAGGTGAAAATTCAGGTGTGTTCACTCCCATAATCCCCTCTGCTCTCCAAGGAGACCACACAAGACTGAGAAAGGGAATGAAAATTTCCTGTGCATTGAGTGCTTCAAGCTACAGAAGGGGCTGTACTGAGGAAACATCCTCAGGGTTCTTGTTATCTCTCTGGCTGAGATGAAAATTTTGACACCATTTTAAAGGAGCCCAGAGTATGTTTATCCTGTCATTCGATGGATTCAGGGCTTTTAACCAGTAATAGGACTGCTGGTACCCAAAGGGATGTTCTTGGTCTTCAACAGACACAGAAACTCCTACAGTTGCAAGACCCTGTGTGGAGACTATTGTAGGGACCCAAATGTAAATATGGTTCCACAACCTTGCCCTAATGCCTACTTCCAGTCCTGTCAGGGTCACTTAATGGGATGATCTGGGTCTGAACCAAATATATGTGACCATAATGAATATTTTGTATTTATGCTAACATTTTAAATGTCTCCTGTCAGAAAAAAAAATAGCCAAGACATACAATAGCACGATAAGAGTCTATGCTATGGTTAGTAAAATGCATGAGAATTGGTTTCAGTAACAAGGTACCATGACACTGAATAGTAAAAGGTTCATCCTCATCTCTAAAAAGGGGATAACAGAATAAATCATGTTAGTTATTAACAGTTGGGAGGATTCACTGGAACGTGGAGTAGGTTGCCCATACTTGACATCCAGCAAGAAGATACTTCCAAGTGATAACCATCATTATTTTGGAAAGCAATGCAGGTAGTTGAAAAAGTAGGCATGAACCATAGATTCAAATCTAAGCTATGTGGTGGTAGTAAAACATCTGTGTCTGTTTATGCCATCAAGAAATGAAAGTCATAAAGCATATACTGGGGTTGTTGCAATGATTAAATTAAATACAAACATGTTGGGCTTTTTAGGAAGCAAATAAGAAAAATCAAGCTACTTCTCATTTTGATATTTCCTTCATTGCTTTTGCACACCTGGGTCAGTGTTGTCAGAGCCCACTTTCTCAGCTTCAGTGTCTAGAAGAAGAGAGCCCTAAAGCTCACTAACCTGTGGGTCTTTACAAATGTTCTAGAGGCGTGGTAATTAAGTAATCCTAGAAGAACCAAAAAAATACCATCTCATTTTCAGAGTTGAGGACATTTTATATTGCCAAAATAAGTAAATGAAAGAATGTCTTTGAGTGGAAATTTTCTATTTCCTCTTTATCCACACTTAGTGCAAGACATTTCTTTGATTTATTGGATATTTTGCCTTTTAATGTTTTCCAGAATTATTTTTCCCCAGCTTTCTCCAAAATGAAATAACTACTCCAAAAAGTTAATTCCGTTTCTGGTGTCACTAATGAGCAATTTAGCCTGTTAGTGTAGAAATGCCAGAAAGCCTCTTTAAAGATCAAAAAAAAAAATTTTTTTTTTCTTTTTTAGAAAACCATCTTTCAAAAAACTTGATTTTCTGCTTCAAAACACAACTGAGTTCCATGAAAGAATGCAAGGGGAAGTTATTTTCTGTCACCTTTAAAGTTAACAGAGGGATTAAAAAAACACAAAATTGTTTTCTGACAGGAAAACAGGCAAATCACAGACAAAACTGCAGGGCAGGGGAAAGAAAAGGGGAAAAAAAATCTGGAAAAAGCCGAGCTTCCAGTCTCCTCCCACTGGTCTGTGTGAAGGATGACTTCAGTCCCTTTCTTAACTAATTCTGTCACTGTAAAATCCTACAGTCATTCTTCCACACATAAAGGACAAATAAGCTGACGAGGAGGATCTAGATGCTTTCAGTTTTAACTATGCACCAATAGAGGAAAAGGCAGGATGCCTCTGCTATGGCTTTGTGGCCAATGGGGGAGCCGTGGATCCCTCACATGACTCACTGCCCCTGTCTTTCACATGGGCTGTAATTTAGTTCAATTCAGAACTGCAGATAGTACGGCTTCCGCGGGAGCCAGGGATGCCTGAGCAGAAGTGGCTGAGTTCCTAGTGACTTTCCGAAGGACTTCTCCACCTTCCTGCGGCACGAAAACAGGGATTCTGCACCTGCACTGGGGACAGGCTGCTAAAAGCCTCTGCTCTGCCTCCGGGGACAAGAAACTGGAGCAAATAACCGTGTTGAAATTGTAAGTATACCTTTCTTTCCCTCGAGTGTACTGATTGAAATAGTTTTCTGTCATAAGCCTCAGATATTTGAAGATTTGTTAGAGCCCTCTCTTATGTGTGTGTCGAAAAGGAGAGGTCGACGGGAGAACTGTCCAGAGGCAGTTGTTGCGTGCTTTATTATGTTAGAGATAAAGAATTAAAAATAAAAGTCAGGCGTTCCAAAGAGTAGCTGCGGGAGGCTGTACACGGGAGCACTGCTCCAACGCGTTGCTTTGTTCATAAGAAAAAACGAAGGCACGGACATATGTACTTAGCTCACTTCTTTCAGCTCTTTAGGTCTAATCAGATTTGATCTGTCCCCAGGAAAAATAAAAGGCAAACTTTGCTGACTCCACTGACAAGGGCACCCTGGACTTTCTAGACATCTGACAGTTATTATAAGTAGCTATGATAGACTGCTAAGACACTTGGAGGCAAACAGCTCTTAAATTCGGAACAATGGCTTCAAGCCAGGGCATTCTTTTTATTTATTGTCTAACTACCAGTTTTAATTTCATAATTGTGATATGCACCGTACCGGTTTCAGGGTTTTCATCCACAAAACGTGAGATGAAGTGCTAGCGCAAGTAAAGGCGACCGAGAATGGCCAGTGTAAAGATACAGGGAAAAGATTGCTTTCTGTCTCAGGATTCAGCCTTCCATGTATAAAGATTTTTTTTTTTAATTCCTAATAGGGTGGAGTGAAGATGTGGGGGGAGGGAGGAAGCATGCGGAAGCTTCTTTATAGAAGAATGCTCGAAGGATAAAATAATTTGGGATTTCTTCTTGCCAGAGGGCAAAAGATACGGTTAGCATCGAAGTTGCATTCATGGTGAGATTTTTTGATAGAGTTTCAAACAGAAGCAGTGTACAGAACTGGTTTTTTTTTTATTATTTATCCAATAATTGGAACAAATGAGGGAGAATGTTCCTGTATTCCTGCTTCCTTTTTATATTCTGCTAGGGTAATCTAGCAGTGCAATCAATATTCCTGCACGTCTAGAATCATCCAAATCCTTAAAAAGTTATAAGCTAAGTCTCATAAGAAATTAAAAGGCAAATCAAATCAATGTGATTCCGCCTGGCGAAGGTTTTGAATGACAAAGCCTCCAACAAAAATAGAGTTTACAAGAACACTCTACTCTCCCCATTTTTAAAAGAGAATATTAACTCCATCAATTATTGAGAGGAATTATTCAAAGGCTCCAGACATAACTAATTATGGCTTAGAGAGAGCTGGCAGAGCAGAGCCGGTGTTCTAATTATAAAAGTCCAAGACGTTCAGAATCATTTTTTAAGGAGGACTCTGGCACAAATTTTTGTATAATCTTTTAAAAATACACCATTTTTTTCTTTGTCTGCTCTCATGTTATCTACACCTCCCCCACCGCCGCCCACTGTGTGTGGAGACACCTGAAGGCTAGACATAATGATCAACAGAGCTCCAGCCTGTCTGGACTCCAGCCAGGTTCTCCCACCCCCCCCCCCCCCCCGCCC